TTTTCTTATTAAGAAGCGTTCGGTGAATGCGCATATGAAACTGGTGGGGTTCAGTACCTCCAATAAGGTTAAGAACCACTGGTCTAGAGCTAAATTAGATAAAAAAAAATTATGAAATTTTGGCTCATTGCCATTGTCAAACTCAAAATATTTGATTAATTTCTTCGTCAGATTCTTTGCACATTTTTAAGTCGTACTAACACTGAATTAAACACAAGTCCTTAAACGTTAGTGACGTAACTTTGATACATAAAAATGGCGAAGACTTAATTTTTTGAACTAGTTCCTAATTCTTGCCGTTCGTTTGACTTGTCTTGTCTGATGACGAAGGCTCTTAGCCGAAACGTTCGTCTTGTATTGTCCTGTTCTTTCAAGCTTCCACATACCTTGTTCTTCTATTTCCTTTAGGAGGCATGGCCTTGTTAAATTTATTTGCGATCCACTGTTTGGCTTTTCTTGTTTTAAGGTAACTGATTCAAAGACACACATACAAACAAACAAAACAGTCACACCAAGCTTTATATAGTATATTATTTAGTAGAAATTGAAAGACCACTAATTACTGACACGTCAGTATTTGATCGGGTTACTACACAAACGCATATGTAATTATCGTTTACTACTCTTATGTAATACATTAAGGATTCCCGAAATAGCTATCGGTATGTGACGTGGTTATTGGCGGACCTCGCTCAGAATCTACGTTTAGATGTCCTACCGGACCAAAAATCAGGCCAAAGGTCTTTTTGAAAGAACCAATAGAAGTTAAGTGTTCTTTCGACCTACGGTGGATTTAGTGTATTCTTTGATTAAATAAAAAAAACCCAAACAATTATGTTGTTGCTAAATCCTTGAAAAACCGTACAAACTCCTGTACGGCTGTACACCTTTTAAGACGCATTGAAGCAGTACAGAATACGGGTAAGCCAGTACAGAATACGGGTAAGCCAGTACAGAATACGGGTAAGCCAGTACAGAATACGGGTAAGCCAGTACACTTATGCCCATTCGGTCATGTCTTATGCCCATTCGGAGTACAGAATACGGGTAAGCCAGTACAGAATACGGGTAAGCCAGTACAGAATACGGGTAAGCCAGTACAGAATACGGGTAAGCCAGTACAGAATACGGGTAAGCCAGTACAGAATACGGGTAAGCCTTGTGGTTTGGACTGCATGGTTGTCTGGTGTATATAATCTCTAGTAAGTTGTCTGTTGAATGTCATCAATTTTAATTTATGCGAGATATTTTGTATGTTGTAAGTTTCAAGTGATCCAACAATAGCGTTGACATTTTAGCTTAGTCGATACCAAATCTTTATTTGAAAAGGTAAATTATTTAAACAAATGAAATTGTTGATTATTAGTTTACATTCTTGAATTCTAACTCTAATGCATACTATTATGGAATTAAGATGTCAATCGCTCTCTTAGACAGCTCTCTTTAGTCCACTCTCTTTAGACAGCTCTATTTAGACAGCTCTCTTTAGACCGCCCTCTTTAGACCGCCCTCTTTAATCAGTTCTCTTTAGTCCGTTCTCGATACACTGCTCTCTTTATACTGCTCTCTTTATACTGCTCTCTTTATACTGCTCTCTTTATACTCCTCTCTTTAGACTGCTCTCTTTATACTGCACTCGTTAGACCACTCTCTTTATACTGCCCTCTTCATACAGCTCTCTTTATACTAATTCTCTTTATGCTGCTCTCTGTATACTGCCCTCTTTATACTGCTCTCTTTATACTACTCTCTTTATACTGCTCTCTTTAGATCGCCGCTATCACTTGATGATATCCTTCAACCTCCAGCCCTGCATACAACGGTCACAGCTACCTGTCCAGCACTTTGGAAAACACTTTTCTTATTCAAATAAAAGTAAAATGTAAGTAAAAAAAATTATGTCACAATACATGAACACTTTATTTAGCATTAAGTCAACGAAATAAATCAACTAAACAGATTGAAAAGCTGACAAGAATCAATTTAATAACATTTTTAAAAACTTGGTTAAACCAAGGAAGTACAGAACGTAATTTAGAAAAT